CGGGCCATAGGCAGTTCACTGACTCAAGCAAGGAAAGTGGCACAGCCTCCGATTAAGTGTGGCACAGCCACCCGGCTTGTCACAGTCAGCAACGAGTGGCTCCCCTGCCCAGAGAAATCGACTTGCAGCATGCTAACACTCAGCTACTTGCATCATTGTTTTCTCTCACCTGTGTTCTGAGTTCTGAGGTCTCGGCTACCACACGGCACCAACTCTCAGCCCGAGTGCCCTCTGCTGGTGTTCTTTGCCTAAGGTTGCCCAGCGTCGCTTGTGCTTCGTGCTTGGTCTTGAGACTATGCTAAACATTACATGTATACCGCAGCTGTCAGTTCGAACTGTTGTACCGGACGGAGCGGCAGGAGTATCGTAACAAGCATTTTTAATCACGCCTTGCAGAAGCTACTTCTCGTAACAAACTGAGTCTTTACGAAGAGCACAGCTCACCACTTGGCCGCGTGTCACAGACTCTGGCCCATCAGCTACAGCTGAGACCATGGACAAACCTCCCAGTCTGGGCCCTTTTCTGGTGCTCAGCGATAGCACCTTGCAGCACATGCTGCGGGGACACACTTACGGAGTGTTCCCGCTGCTGACGGGCCAGGTCTTAAGCTGCCCAGGCGCCGCCCTCAACATTTCTGCCGGCAGCGTCCCCTCCATCTTGGAGCTCCTCCACTGGCAATTTGGGCTCTTTGGGCCGCACAAATTCACAGCGGCTGTGCAGAGTCCGCCGGTGGCCTCCATCTTGGAGAACCACCTCGACGGACAAATCAACGTTCGCTTCATTCCGCTGTCCCGAAGCCTGCGCCCAGAGAAGCAAATCAATTATGACTACCTGATCGATGGCAGGGTCCAATATGGCTTCGCGGACAAGAACCTGCACAACCAAGAAATCATGGACCTGGCCCAGATGCCTGGTGTAGGAGGGGTAGAATGGCTCTACAACTCCAAGAACCTTCATTTCCGCCCCGAAGTCGCGGACATTGTCATCCCGGCGCTTGTAACCAGAGCCATCGAGGAAATGCGCAACACCCCAGGACTGCCTGTCCTCGTGGTCGCTGGTTGGAACGCTCGCGAGCAGGACATGCATGTCGAAATGCTAGCTGCCCAGGCTCTGTCGCAATGCCGCACGGTCCGTGATCTTTCAGAAGTAGCCATGCAATACGGACATGGCCCCTGGGGAATGCGATTCACACATCTCCCAGAATGGGAAGCCGCCCCTGTCCCAGCCCTCCTCTTCCAGACCTACGTTCACGACGAAAAGCCGGAACCGGCCCAAGTCGCGGCCAAAATGTTTGCTGGCTTCACCCGCAGATTCTGTGATGATGATGTTCTTCGGGCTACCCTGCGGCAACTCGCAGGAAAGTACGGCTCCAATCTGCTGGATCGCCTCAGCCAACCTGCTCATCGAGCAGACGTATTCCGATACGTCTACCACTACCAGCACGGCGGCCTATACGTCGACATCAAATGTGGCTTCGTGGTACCTTGGGAACAGGTACTTGTGTATCTCGCAGCAGATTGGAGCACAGCTCACTCAAAGAAGGCAGGTGAAGTGGGTCACAGACCCTCCCCACCTGGCCAACTCCCACAGGAGTTCATGGTCATGGCCATAGGAGTCAAAGGAGATCATATTTTTCAAGGCATCATCTATGGCAAGCCCAGACATCCCTTGATGAGGGAAGCCATACAGCACGCCTTCAGCCGTCAGGTTATGACAGCGAAGGCAAACTTGGAATACATGACCTTCTGCAAATATCTTTGGCAGATCTTGGGTCGCGACCTTGGTCACTCCCCTCAGCCGGGATGGAATGTTTCCACCAAATTCGGCCCCATCTACCTGTTCTCGGAGCGCTGGGACAAGCGAGTGAAGAACAAGAAGTACGACAATGATGGCCACTACTTCGTGACTACCAACAACACGACCGTTGCATATACCCGTTGCTGGAAGTGGCTGAAGGGATTTCAGGGAGACCCAACCACCAAGGAACGCACAGACCGCATGCTGCAGAGCCAACTCCCTGACATCTCCCTTGAAATCCAGTCTGACAGACCTGAAGAGCACAGCTCACCACAGCCACTTAGGTCACAGACCATGGCAACCGCCTCATCGGCTCCCCCTCCTCCCACTCAGGAGGATATTGAAGCCTATGTGGCCGACAGCATCCAGTACAACTCCTTTGCAGAGATCATGGCTACGGTCCGTGCAACCCACCACTACAATCAAGACCTTACAGAGCAGGATGTGCTGGAGCTTATCCCTCGAGGATTAGGGCAAGTGAAAGTCTCGGGGGACATGTGGCTATGCTGCTTGCACTGCCGCAAGCACAACAGGCAGGTGCAATTCAGCACTAGCCACGGCCTTAAGAACCACTTTGTCACTCAGAAGCACAACCCAGCACTCAGTGCCACGCCAGCCCCCCACTCTCCCCCCCCTCCTCCTCCCCCCAAGCTCCCCCAGGAAATTCCTCTTCCCCCCAGCAGTACCAGGACCAAAGGTGTGGACAAAGCAGCCGGCTTTGAGCCGCCACCCTCCCCCCCTTGCCCTTTCACCTCCTCAGCAGCTGAAAAGGCGGCCTTCAAAGCAGGCCAAGCAGAAACACCGAAGGCGGCCCCAGCGCTTCCGGTTAAGGCCCCACCGCCCTTGGTGGCCACCCAAAGCCCCCCGCCCTCATCTTCATCGGCGGCACCAGCCCCCCCTCCTGCGATTCCGGTCCCCCCGATCCTTCCGCATCCCCCCAAGTCCGTCTCTCCTCCAACCCCCGCCACCCAGGCCGCTCCGCGCTCCCACACGCCCCCTCCTCCCTCTTCCCGCCCCCCGTCAGCATATGAGCCTCCGGAATCCAATGCGGAACTCGTCGGCTATGTCCCGCAGCCGGCTCCACGGCTGACAGTACGTTACACGCGGCAGGAGTTGGCTCAGCTGCTGAGCTCCCAGTCCCATCAAGACTGGATTCGGGCCTTAGCTTCCATCAACATCCTGGTGGCCCCGGTCATTCTTGGCGGCCTCACCAACCAGGAACAACAGACCCTTTGGTCTACCAGGATGGAAGCACTCCGAGAAGTTCCGCCGCTGTTCTCTGCCATCAAGTCCGTCAGGACGCAAACCGGCCTCACATGGGACACCGCCATGTCGGTGAGGCGAGTCCTCACAAGCGATGGGAAGGTCACCATCGCCACAGGCGCGGGCGATGCCTACCGCGAGCTGGACGCGCCAACAAAAGTGCATGGCCTTATCCATGCCTGTTTCAACAAGATGTGGGATGAAAAGGCTTTTCAGCAACACTTCCCATCGTGGGTCGAATTCAATATGATCGCCACCACCATAGTGGCAGTCTACAACGAGACTGCAAAATCAGCTGGACTCCCAGCTCGTGTCTTCCGGGTCAAACCCGACAAAAATGCCTACTCCATCATGAAGATGCGGATACAGCATGACAAAGGGAACGAAGAGGACAAGCGCATGGCCAAGCTGGCTGCTGCTGCAACTCACAAGCGCCCACAGATGCAGGAGGCAGACACAGAGGGCAAGCGGCAGCGCGATGGCCCCTCCTCATCCTCCTCGTCCCAGTGGGCCAGACAGGCACGCTCATTTCAGGACGACGACTGGGACTGGTGGCAGCAGTGGTCCTGGCACGGCTACTCTCAGCAGTGGCCAAAAGGTCATGACCAGTGAGGGCGATAATATGTCACAGACTCTATGATCCCTTATGTCACAGACTCAGGGAATTCGGCACTCTTCCGACGCCTAGCACATCTCTTCGGAAGACTGCGAATCGCGTGCTAGCCTCGCTTAAAACAGCACTTTGCGCTTCAGCAGATTGCCAGCATCGAAGCTGCCCCAAGACTCACGACACCGAAATTGCCTCAGGTACCAGCGGTCATCCGCACATGACCCTTACGGCCTTCTGTCTTCAACATGAGTAATCCGTGTGGGACGCCACGAGACGGATACTCCGGGTGGCGGCTTCATCTGAGGTACGGCCTATTTGTTGAGACAGGTGCACAGATGGACGCGTCTGTTCACGCCAAGGTGTCGGAGAAGGAAGCTTTTTTGTCGAAGTAGCAGTTGAAGTAGTTTGTCAAGTTCGAGCTGATTAGAGAGACCTGAGCGATGCATGCTAGAAGCAGTTTCACGAGTGCATGAGACCAATGGCGCCCGCAAAGCGCAGAGCACGCTCGCGCAGCGTTCAATTGAAAAATAGTAGTAGTAGTAGGACTAGGACGAGGACTAGCACCAGGACTAGTAGTAGTACCAGCAGTGGGAAGTCGTAGTCGTGGCTGTGGCCCGATAGTAGTCGCAGTCGTTGTAGGACAGTCGTCGCAATCGTCGTCGTAGTAGTCGTCGGAGTGGTAGAGATAGTGGTAGTTGTGGTGGCAGCGGTAGTGGTGTTGCTAGTGAAGTAGTAGGAGTAGTAAGCCGTAGAAGGAGGAGGAGTAGTGGCTTCGGCAGAAGTCCGAGCGAATGCTCGTTTGTCTTCGGAAACACCTGAATCGTGCTTGTCACACAGTTTGCTGCTGACGCTGAGGAGTAGCTTTGTCCTTCTTGCTTGCTTCCGAATGATTTTGACCGAGCAAGGCCAGTCGCAGATCGTATCGTGAGAATTCATGAGTCATGTCTCTGTCTATGACGCACTCGCGGATGTTGAGATCCAGAACGAGACCTCCCTATCAAGGCTCTGCCGTTTTCCTGATGTTGAAAACGAACATTGCTAGTTGTGGCTCGCGTATCGAGTCTACAGCCAACCTGTCAGCCTTGACAATAGGGATTTGAAAAGCCAGTGCACCTCTATCCATCTCTTGCCAAGATGAACTGCAAGCCTCCTATCCTGAACTCCGGATTGGAGGCAGAAGTGACGGGAGTCTCCAAGGCCAACAGCACTATAGTGTACTAAAGTGTTCTGTAGTATACTTTAGTCTGCTATAATACACCTAGTATACTAAATATAGTATACTGTAGTATATATTACAGTACATGATAGTTTCCTTTGCGGAGATCGCGCCTGTGCAGCTTCCTGCAGCGAGGGGCCCTCGAGCCCCTCAGCGACGTGCCTGAACCGGAACCGAGCTTTACCCTTGCAGTCAGTGGTGTCGTGATCCTGCTGGTTCTCATGCTTAGTGGCTTAGAACTGTTCAGTTGGTACTTGGCAGCAACATTGTATAGTATGGTATAGTACAGTATGGTATCATATACTGTGCTACACTATACCAGAATGAAATGCAACATGATAGAGTACAGAATAAGTAGATGACAAAACTCATACAACATAATCCAATGCAATACATTTGCAATGTAATCTCATCGCACATGATACACAGAATAAGATATTACCTAGCCTACGTCGGCTGTCTTCGGTAGCTTCAGGGCTCCGTTCTGCCCTGTTGAAGACATTTGCTGCTCTTCATGGTTGGTATATCTTGTAGATCACCCTTGATCATGTGGATCCCAACTGTTGGGATCTGAGGCGAGATCTAGGCATGCTCTGCACATGATGTGCTTCTGCATTTAAGGTCAGCGGTTACTGCACAAAAGATTCCACTCCATTCCAGGCCCCCCCAGCTCATTTCGGACCAGTCGCGCATCTTCTGCGTCGATAGCCGAGTCCGCCGAGCCCCATTTGTTCTCAATGACAATCTGCGAGCATGCCGAGACTTTGTCAGACTGTCCGCTGCTTTTCTGCATGCTACCAGTCTGTGTTGTCATGAGTCTGCCCATTCTGTGCCACTGCTAGTACTGACACAATGATGAATCAAAGTGCATTTGCCACACATTGCTGTCCTAGAAGCTATCTTGCGAGCTCCACGAAATCCAATCAGGAAACTGTGGTCCTAAGAACTCACCCCTGAACAAACATACCTGTGACCCCCCAAACCCTCAGAGCCCCGGCCTTCTTCACCGGGGCCTTGGTCGGAGCCACAGCCGAAGCCTTTGGCTTCGGTTTTGGCTCCGGCGTCTGCGCCGGGATGTGAGGCCTCAGTAGAGGATGAGGCTAGCGCTCCCTACAAGAACTGCCATTACATGTAGTTGATCGATGAAGCTGATGTTACGAAGGAGTCACTTTGAAGAGAACAAAAACGACTGCGACGGCAACAGCAATACGAAGGGGGCAGAGTTAGGACCGGCAAAATTTACGTGTACAGACACAAGGTTGAACAGCGTACATGGCCCAAGGTTACGGAAGTCCCAGTGGCTTGTGTTTATGTAGCTTGTCTGTGTCTATGTCATGTGCATATACGGCATACAGTGCAACAAGCACATGCTCATATACAAACACGCATATGTCTATGCGATGTCTGTATATGCGTCTATCTATATCCATATCTGCATGTATGCTTATCCATGTACGGATATATACATACTCACACACATTCGTATGGTATTGCATATATGCATATGCTTAACATCTCTGTACTTATACTTACATATACGGACACACACACATACACACACACACACACAGACACACAGACACACTGACACACACACACACACAGACACACACACACACAGACACACACACACACACCCACACAAACAGACACACACACACACACACACACAGACACACACACACACACACACATACCCAGTCTGAGCTGGTTGTCTTGGCATCATCTCTCTTCACGCTTCAGAAGAGATATGGTTGTTTTCAGCAGGTATGTTTTCACACTTACCATCGGAGGTCTTCTTTGGCCGCAACTCCGATGGTAAGCCTGCGCCCCCCCTGCATCCCCTGCATTCTAGCATATGCATTACAGAACTGTCTGAGAAGATGTCTTCCTTAGAAACAGGAATTCCGCACACACCTACCCGGTCAGTGCCGGTTGGTAACGATTCACTCTCATAGGCTAAGTTTTAAACAAGAATGATGTAACATCAACAACACAACAATAACGATGCGGACGACGAAGAGAAGCAGCAAACAGACGAACAACAACATCGACGACGACGAGGACGAAACGACGCAACAACCAACACCACAATAACTGTGGCTGCAACATCTACGCGAACGACAAGGACGACGAGAACGAATAAAAGCAACACAAAAACACGACGACGACACGACTGCGCGAAAAAACAATAATAGCAACACAACAGGCCCACTTGCTTTCCGAGGAAAGCTTCGCTACCGCAGGGGATGCATCATACTAGCAGCTTGGCGGTCTTCAGTGAAAACATCATCTCAAACACCACCTTCAAGTGCCAAAGGAGGTGGCATTCAGAAGGCACAGTAATGAATGCATCATCTAATAAGTTGTCCGTAAATAAGTAGTAGTATCATCGTAGCAGCTTGGCGGTCTTCAGCGAATAACAGCATCAAAAACACCATCCTTTGCGCCGACAGAAGTGGAATTCAGGATGCGCATCAGTAATAGACATCATCAACTTAAGCGCTCGAATCTACTAAAAAATCGACATCATACTAGCAGCTTGGCGGTCTTCAGTGAAAACATCATCTCAAACACCACCTTCAAGTGCCAAAGGAGGTGGCATTCAGAAGGCACAGTAATGAATGCATCATCTAATAAGTTGTCCGTAGATAAGTAGTGGTATCATCGTAGCAGCTTGGCGGTCTTCAACGAATAGCAACACCCAAAACACCATCCTTTGCGTCGTCAGAGGTGGTATTCAGGAGACGCATTACTGGTAGACATCATCAACTTAAGCGCTCGAATCTACTAAAGCATCGGCAGCATCATCCTACTTGTGTGTCAGAGCTTTTCGGACGGCCTGATTCCGAATCTTGACACACCGCCTCTGCAATAGTTACATTACCAGGCCGAGTGGGTTGGGGACTTCAGGAAAGTCGCTAGAGGTGGACTTCAGATTAGTCAGCGTAGAAAGTCTTGAGCGCATTCATCGTTCGGAAATATTCATCAATCGGAGGTCTTCATCAGTCGGATGTATTCATATGTCTTCATCGTTCGGAGGAATTCATCGGCCGGTGGAATTCACATCTCAACGTTCGGATGTATTCAGCGTTAGAAGTAGACTGAAGTCCACTATTCAGAGTGCTGACCAGGGACTCAGGGTGTATTCATCATGCCCCCCGCAGACCGAGGGTCCGGCAGCGCTTTGGCAGAATTACTACCGGGATTCACACACATACCAAGTCTGAGCTGGTTGTCTTGACATCATCTCTCTTCACGCGTCGAATTGTGCTTCGAATTGTGCGCTCTTCGAGCAGGCATACGAAGCTTGCATGCAGAATCTCCACAGAAAGTCTTCAGAAGAGATATGGTTGTTTTCAGCAGGTACGTTTTCACACTTACCATCGGAGGTCTTCGTTGGCCGCAGCTCCGATGGTAAGCCTGCGGCCCCCTGCATCCGCTGCAGTCTAGTATATGCATTACAGAGCTGTCTGAGAAGATGTCTTCCTCAGAAACAGGAATTCCAACACACAGACACACACACACAGACACAACACACACACACACAGACACACACACACACAGACACACACACACACACACACACACCAGTCATCCCTTGGGATGCTGTTTGTGTTAGGATTACTAGTTCTTGTCACTTCCTCTTTGCAATCATCACGTCACAACATCCGGCCGACTATGAAACAACAGCTTCTTGAGGGTGTAAATTTGGGCGGCCATCGCAGGTACGTGAAGAAGGCGTTCCTGCTTCATATCCAAGCAATTCTGGACGGTCTTTGTTAGGCAGTGCAATCCAGAAATGCTCGCTGCCCCCTGCTAATATGACTGCAGAAGCATCAAAGCCTACATCCTTATTGACAGGAATTGCACACGGCAATACGGGTAAGCTGTAAGTAGCGCTGGGCAAAATTCTCAGGTTGTGTAGTGGCGAGTTGCACTCACTGCCCTTCGGCCTCAGAAAACCCAACCCAACCTTCGAAAAAACCCCAAACCTTGCAGCCTCAGAAAACTCAGCCTTCCAACCGTCAAAACACCCCCAAACCTGGCGCACCCACTGCCTTGCGGCCTCAGAAGACCCAGTCTTCCAACTTCCGAAGAACCCTGAAGCTTTGCACTTCACTGTTTTGCAGCCTCAAAAACCCAAGCCTTCGGCCACTTGTACAGATCAGGCCCATTTGCAACCTTTGAAAAACCTACATTCTTCGCAACATGAGTTGCGCACCCACACACTACCGGCTGTACCGGTAGCTTTAGATGTTACAAATCGTGATTGAGCTTCTTGTTATCAAAAGGGCCACACACGCGGTTACTCCTGTTGGAGTGCCTTAAAAAGGTCAACATGGAGGATCGCAGGCAAAGCCGCAGCCCCTCCAATGCTGCCTTCCTGCAACGGTTGTTATGGAGAATCGCAGGCAAAGCCGCTGCCTCTCCGTGCCGCCTTCTTGTGGCGGTCAGCCTGGAGGATCGCAGGCAAAGCCGCAACCCCCCCAATGCTGCTTTCTTCTGATCAAGAAATGCTTATGCAATTTCCAGAACGATTGAATCAAGTAATGATTCGAGAAAGGTTGCAGACGGTGACACCAACGGTGTCGATGACGGTCTGGCATCCTCTCGATGTCCTCCTTCACGTTGCTGAATATGAAAGTCATAGTTTGCCACGGCTCAGGACACAACACTAAGGTTGTGAAACAAGGATGTTACATGATCAAATGGCTGTGAAAGCTACTCCTTGGCTCTTTCACTTGGACTCTTTATGGAGATGTCCAGCCAGGAATGGGGGTACCTTCTTCGAGGGTGTCACACCAGGCGTGCTCGTCCGAGCTTGATCCGGGAGAGTTAGGTTCCAATGGTATACTCGGCAATCGAGGCCTGATTCATGTGGGGCCAAGGCTCATGCTCCAAGGAAAAGGACAGATGTATTCATGGGGTACCAGATACTCCAAGGGATCCCCCGCAAACCGGGAGTCCGACAGCGCTTTGGCAGAATTACTGTCGTGAAGCACACTTGCTGAGCAGTCATCCCTTGCGATGCTGTTTGTGTTAGAACTACTTGTTCTTGTCACTTCCTCTCCGTCATCATCACGTCACAACATCCGCCCGACTATGAAGCAACAGCTTCCTTAAGGTGTCAATTTGGCCGGCCATCGCAGGTACGGTACGTGAAGAAGGCGTCCCTTCATCATGTCCAAGCGAATCTGGACGGTCTTCGGTGGGCAGAGCAATCCAGAAATGCTCGCTGACCCCTTGCTAATATGGCTGCAGAAGCATCAAAGCCTACATCCTTAATGACAGGAGTTGCGCACGCACAAACGCACAAACACACAGACACACACACACACACAGACACACACACACAGACACACAGACACACAGACACACAGACACACACACACACACAGAGACACAGACACACACACACACACACACACGCATCATACACAAACACATACATCGATGTGAAGGTTCGTACAGTGTTCAATGTATCTTGTCCAGTATTGCATTGGAGTCTCTTGGGCTACATCTGATTCATGATCTTCATGCTCGAAGCACCAACAGTGTCCAGTCGAATGGCTGCTCGCTTGACGGAGGCGTTGTCAGGCCATCAGCATCATCGGAGTTGCTCTCCTGCGCAACACATGCTGGGTGTACGACATTGCTGGACTGCTTACCTGTAGCGCATCAATGCGTATCACTTGCAAGAAGTTGCTACTTGCCCGATGCTCAGTACCACCACGCGCACAAGTTTTCCACCATTTCTCTTGTCGCTCTCTGTGTTTCCCTCTATCCATCCATGCGTTTGTCTGTCTACCTATCTCCTGTCTATGTATCTATTTACTCTTCTATCTATCCGTCTGTATATCTGTCTAGCCATCTGCCCAAAAGCTTGCTAGACCTCTGGACGCCGTCTCAACAAAGGAGCCATAACCACTCTTCCGAGAGTCCCTTGCGCCCAGAATCGAGCCCCAACAGCCTGTCGCAGCCCGAAAATTGCTAATTATGTAATCATGTGTGCGGCACAACCTCAGATGGTAACATAGATCAACAAGACCTGCACCTGCAGGGTATTCTACTATAGCGTATAGTATAGTATACAAACCATCCTACACCCAAAGCAGAATCATCGGCCGTAATCCAGCCAGAACCGCTCTGCGCCTGCGCGTCTTCGGTGTTTGCCTGGGTCTCGGGCTCCTCCTCTCGCGGTGGGGGCTGGAAGAAATCCTGAGCGGCAGCAGGCGGAGTGACTGTTATGATGGGCTCAGTTGGCACCTGCTGGCACCAGACTCCAGGCGGCTTTTGCAGGAGCAGCCGCAGCTTCTGCTGCATCTGCTGCTACTCCTGCTTACGACGACGACTACTATGACTACTACTACCACCTCTGCTACCACCACCACCAGAATTTCATATAATGATATTCCTACTACTGCTGCGTCAGCAACAACAACTACTACCACTTCTTCTTCTGCGCCTGCTGCTGCAACTGCAACTGCACCTGCTGCTACGCTACTGCAACTGCAACTGCTACTGCTGCTGCTGCCGCTGCTACTGCTGCTGTTGCTGCTGCTGCTGCTGACACTGCTGCTGCTGCTACTGCCACTGCTCCTCGTCCTCCTCCTACTCCTACTCCTACTCCTGTCCTACTGCCACTGCTACTGTGACGACTACCACTAGTACTGCCACAGGCCACTGTGCGACTGCGATAATGATGGTTCTTCTCTTACTCCAACTCGGAGTATGTATTTCTATCATCCAGGGTTTCACAGTGACTACAGCCGGTGCCGAGAAGCATGTGGGTCGAGCTTGGTTCGCTGGAGCTTCCTGGGCATGATGGGAGCGTTTCATCTCGAACTGCCGAGGCGATAGGTTACTATCCTCGGAGGAATCCGTGCACCCAAACTCTGAACTCTCCTACATCTGCAGCCAGGTGCTGTCGGTACACTGCTTGCACGACAACGTGCCTTCCACAATGAGCTCGACTCACTTCCTGTGACCACGTCTTGCCTCTGCATCCCTTCATCTGCACAGTTCTGGCATAAATAGCGGCCACACGTCAAAACCCGCGAAACCAATCAGGAAATCTCCTTGCAGTTTGCGGCTCTCTTTCTTCTTTGCTTGAGGAGCTGCCTTCGCCGGCTTTAAGGCGGCCTTTCCCAGGGGACAAATTCAATAAGGGAAAGTGTAAAAGACATGGATGCAGGATGCTCGCACACTTGGATCTCAGCTGAGGATATCTGTACCCATCTACATATTGTATAAAAAGCATACGCATAAGCACATGTATGGAATTATGTAATGATGTACTTGTACGTGCAACTGTATATCCGTATATCTGTGCTATCTGTGTAGAGATACAACATGTCACAGACAGTTACAAGTGTGGGACTTATCTACGTCACATTGTGATCACTTGAACAACCGATATAGAAACAGCAGCGAGCAGAACGGTGTCGTGTTCAATGCGGATTCCTGATCTACCCTGCTTCACATCGTCTCTTCTAAGCAGTGTGCCTCCTGGCGCTTCTTCTCAAGCTTGGCCTGAGGATTGGGTTCTGGTTGTTTACGCACGAACCGGGAAGCGTGCTGTAATTACTTCGACAGCGCCTCGACCGAGTCAAAAGCATCACACAGTCAACAAACACATCGCTAAGGAGATCTGTAAAGCTTCGAGGCCATCATCTCGGTCAAGACTTCCCGAGTTTTACAGCCACAACGATTCTCACAAAAGAGAACAGGTACCTCCGTGCTTAACGTGTGTGCCTGGCAACTACCACCATCGCAGAATCCAATTCAACAAAAATCCGATCAGTAACAGCAGCAAGTTCCCCATAATCCAGACACGGTAGAAAAATTATGAACAAAACATCTTGCAAGCCAAGAACTATCCATGTGCATAGTTTTTGTTAAATGGTTTTTTAAACCTTTACAAAAACTTACTCTTCACCGGGCGGCCTGGAGCTCAAGCTCCTTGCGCTCCTCTGCCTCGCGATGGGCCTTTGGAGCTAAAACAAAGGGACTGAAACCGGGTAAACAAATGGACAGTCGTCGAAGAAGAAACAGTAGCAGTAGACATAGAAGTTGAAGTAGTAGCAGCAGCAGCAGCAGCAGCAAGCAGCAGCAGTAGCAGTAGCGGCAGTCGTCGTCGTAGTAGTAGTCGTCGTAGTAACAGTAGTGGTAGTGGTAGTGGTAGTGGTAGTAGTAGTAGTAGTAGTAGTAGTAGCAGAACTAGCAGTAGCAGCAGTCGCAGCAGTAGTAGCAGTGGCAGTGGTTGTCGTGGGGTGATGGGGGTGGTGGTAGCAGTAGTGGTAAGAGTAGCAGAGGCAACAGCTACAGCAGCGGCAGTCGTAGCAGGGGAGAAACAGCAGTAGCAGTCGCAGCAATTTCGCTGCTACTGTATAGCCGTGTCCGGTATCCCGCTGTGGTGCTGCTAGTCTGGTGGATGACGACTGCATGCTGATCGCACGAGTCGTTTCAAGAAGCCAGACGCCGTCAATGTGGCGCTGGTGGATGGCCAGCGACTTGAAACGCAAGCCACAGCCGTTAAGCCAGCGCCCGGCATGCGGCGGGGAAATGCGATCACTGCGTGACAGTTGAACTATCTTTGCGTCGCCTGCCGCTTCCTCTCGAGCGCCTCCTCCTCCTGCGACAGGAAGGAACGGAAAGAGCAGCACAAATCAATCAGTGTTGCGAGACATTTCGTTCACGCCCACACCTCCCGGAGCTTGCGCTCTGCAGCCTCCTGTGCCTCTCTTTTGGCCTGCTCAGCCTGACGACAAGCTTCAATGCACGTCTGCGCTCCCCAGTCCAAAGGATGCTGGGGATGAGAGGCATTATGTGTTATATGGGAATTTCCGAAAATTTGGTACCTTATTTTGGGGGTCCTGATAATAAGGATCCTACTGTTTTAGGGTACTATATTATTGCCCCCTATTTTCGGAAACTCCCATATGGCATGATGGATGACACTGTGGCAGCGGCTTTGATCTTTTCGAGCTCGATGAGGGCCTTTTGAAGGCGACGGTGAAACTCCTGCAACCGGACAGAGGCTCGCATTTAAATTGGTTGGCACGGCTTGGCAGCAGCATCTTCGCCAGATTCACCCTGCATTTCAACTTGCTCCTCAGAGGTTTCGAACCACATGCGGCTTTTCCGCTCCAATCCTCAGCAACTGAATGGCGACGGCATTGCGAGGGCGGAATGTTTGGACAGGTAGTGCGTGCGACGCGGCTGCAAACTCAGTAGCCTCCGGTATGGCATTTGGCCGCTCATCCAAGTGGGCCACTACACTGATATGCATATCTATGCAATACTACAATATGTATGCCGCATGCCCGTGTATTTGTGCGTGCACATGCATATGTGTGCAAAATCAGTTGCTTCAAACTACATGTCGTTGTCTGAGCATGTGTGTGCGCGCTTGTCTGCGATGCATGCACACCGTCGCCGACATGAGCATACGGATGTTCATGGTTTTTGTGCAAAGCTGTTCTGTGCATAAAACTAACAGAGCGAGCCAGCGACCGCAAGGGAAAGGGACGAACGGGAGCAGGCTGCCAGACTTTGCCAGGACTCGTCGGATGTCCTCCTGCAAGGAGGGCCTTTTCCTCACCTCGGGTGTTCCGAAGTTTTAGCTTTAATTGCAGAAGAGCTGGCATTTCAGTTAAATTCTGAGCTTCTCACCTGCTCTCTGTCATGGTCGCCTGAGAGAATTGCATGACAAGCCACTACTTTCCAGCAGGATGGTGAACACGCAGTCTATCATAGTTTCTACGAAGCCGCGTGCAAACAGCACAGCATGCTCAAGCGATGTCTGCGACGATCAGTCGATGTCTTGACAGGGCTGGGCTTCCCGGCTGAGGTTTTTCTCTGGAGCCTTCGACAAGCGGTCAAGCCGCTTCAGCTCCTCCAGAGTCAAGGACATCCGGCTTTACTGGCTTCCTCTCTTCAGTGTCTCTTCACACGTCCATGACTGCCGCCCCGGCCTGATCCAGCGGGTAGAAGTCTTCCAGATTTTTCACTGGGTGGGTGATCCCTTTGGACTTTCCCCTGACAGTCAACGGCAAAATCGGCCACGCACGTAAGGCCAGCAGAGACATCAGCGGCACGGAGGCCCGAATGCGGCCAGCTCAGCTTCCGACACACTGACTAACATGGTCTCGACCTTCCTTAGAATGCAGGAGTGACGACAGTGTATTGCGGCGATGGATGTGACTAACATGGTCTCGACCTTCCTTAGAATGCAGGAGTGACGACAGTGTATTGCGGCGATGGATTGTCAGTAATCAGTAACCAGAGGTAACTCCTAAGACCCAAGTCCAGCTTCTTATGGCTTATCCCTGTCACCGAAGGCGCATGTCGTCGCGGATGCTACACTGCTACAACACCGGCATATGAGCGGCAAATGCAGGACAAGCAAGACTTTGCATGAAGAGCTCTTATCGCTTCACTTGCCAAGCATCTCGACGGTCTTGGCCTTTCCCGCCTCCTGCAGAGATCTGCAGAATTCGGAGTTCCCGGGCCAGGGCGCGCGCCCCTGAAAAGCGGGGCCTTGGCTGCAGTCCGCCGCGCGGCGAGCTGCTCCTGGAGGACCGGCCTCTCCTGGCTTTCATCGAGAGCTTCTGACTGGGGGACCCCAACATGTAGTAGGATCCTTAGTATCGGGACCCCAAAATAAGGTGTCCCAAATTACTGAAACCACCTCGACCTAGAGCAGCTTTGGTGTCTTTTGAAGATGCGACTTGTCTCCCGCTGAACCTGTTCTCCTTGTAGTGACTTTGTTCCCTGGTCTCTCTTCCTTTTTTCAATGCTCCCATGCACTTAAACTGACTTCAACTGCCCACCCGTTCATGTACTGTGAACTTCTGCAGAACATGTCACGAACCGGTCACCAGAGCCAAGCTCTACTCCAGAGCCCAAATCGTGCACAACACGCTCGTTTGGAATCTGGGCTTTGCAAGACCATGCATGCATGCAGCTTTCTGATATGCTGCACCTTCTGATTCCGCCCTGGTTTCTAGGTCCGCATACAAGATGACTCGACCTCCCGCCGCACCGCGTCGATTCACACGTTTGCAAGGATTCAGGCGCCGTTTCCGTCGGGTGGGAGAAGCTGGAGTTCTGCTAGCGCGAGAGAACAGCCATCAAGACATTGTCTTATCTCGGGTCGGGTAGAACACGCAGCGTACGCTCCACAACCTGCAGTGCGGAGGTGTGTAATCGCGCAATCCGGTTCTCTGTTGGGCCTACGTGTCACATGGAAGAACCTGACCTCGTGGATGAGGTCGTCGTGGATTTTCATGATCACATTTTCGTCGTTGTCGCCGTGGTCTTTGCTGCTTTTGCAGTGCTGTTGCTGCTCTTGCTTGCTTCATGCCACATCTTCTTCGTCTTCTGATTGTTGGACAAGGTTTCTTTCGGTGAGCCTCGACGGTGAGGCGACCTTCGTCGATCATCGCTTGCACCGCGCCGGTGAGAAGCTGGATCTTGTCCTGCTTGAGAAAAGGTGGCTGAAAGGTTTTGGTGTTACGGCTTTCGGGGATTTTGGCGACATTCTTTCTGGCGTCAACTGGAACGGCCTCGGGTTCGTCAGGCTAATCTGCAACTGTGGGTTGATCGAAACCCTGACTTTTCTAGGTTGCCAGGCAACTTCCACCAAACAAAACCGTAGGGTCCCCTGTGGCCGGCAGGACTGAAACCCACAAACATGTACATGCCTTTTGTTGGCCCTACTTGTAGTCTCTTGCCTCTCATCGCATGTTGGTGAGAGCGCGGGCATGTGGGGCGGCTACGCTTGTCCTGAAGGTCTTGGCTGTGGTACTTGTTGATCAGCTCATGCTCCTGCCGAGTGGACGGCAATGGACGGCAGTCACAAAGCGAGACAACGAGGCACGCGAGGATCACCTGCAGCTCCCGTCCTCTGTTTCCATCTTTCCCTTCACCTTGCCGACCGCTTTGACCTGGCTTTAGACCATTAAAAAACCGAACCACTTTGCCTCTCGCCTCCCTTGGCTCTGCTCGCAATCAAAGGCAGAGTAACCATGTACAGCTTCTCCTCGGCAGCCTGGACCTTTTTCAAGAAGTCCTCTGCAAGCAACAAAAGTTGTGGTACTTCTGCTAGCTCGGGCTGTGCTCACCGCAGCCCCCCTCCCAGGCAAGAAGCCACCTTCATGCCGTCCAACAGGCGCTTCTTTTCCTCGGCTCCGATTCCATCTTGCACTGACTCAACAAATCCAAACCGATCGGACCCTGCCACACCTCCAGTGCGTACGAGCTTCGGTGTAACCGGGCGCGTTGGCCTCGACCGTCTTCAGGAGATCCTGTGGCTTACTAGCCGATGATGAATTTCATGCCTCTGCCACCGTCTTCAGGTGACGCTGGGCAAGGCAGTCAAAAGCCGGGTTTTGCCATGTTGGCGGGGGGCAATACAAGCTACAAAACGAAAATGGCTTCTGGAGAAACCAGGAAGTCCTGTGGCTTCTTGTCTTGAGCTGTAAGGGCCTGTCAGGGGCACCGAAGCAGTCTGCACAAGGTACTGCCACTTGCTACTTCCATATGAAGCACCACATGAGCAAAAACTGGTCAGTGACAGCACACCAGCACCAGCACCACCATCACCATCGGCAGAATCACCCCACCCTCACCATCACTATCGTCGAGGGCAGATGCCAGGTACCCGGTTGCCGTCAGACATTTTGGAATTGTGTGGTCGGGCGAACTTCTGACGATGAGCGCCTTATCAGACTCATGCAGTACTTGTGCTTCAACGCCCCGCTTGCTTTGCAGACGCGCCTGGAAGTGCTCATCTGAGAATATTTCATTCTCAGGTTCAGCCATGTTGCTCCACAGCTGTGCGAATTGAAGCTTATTTGCGAGGTAGGCTGTGGCTGTGACAACACTCCACGGAGGATTTTCTACCAGTGCATCATAAGAGTGACTTCGGCATCCCCTGTTTGGGCGGTCTCAGTTGGGATCTCTCGGAGGAAGAGTTGAAACCGTTCAGGTTGTTGCGCAGAGGTCTTGAGCCGAACCGGCAGAAGGAGTGTGGCTCTGCCTCCGCCTCCGCCCCGGCATCTAACTATGCAGTCTGGCCGCGACAACCCGCAAAACACTCAGACATGCAGGCAAACCTCTTGAAGCAGCGTAGGGTTCTGCAGGTCCATCTCGTTCGTGTCGCGATTGAACGTGCCCACAATCTGCCAGGGCAATCTCACAAAAAGAATGCTGCCTCTGTCCTATCCTGTCCCATCTGCTAGCAAGCCGGGACTTCATGAACTACTCGAAGCTGACAGTCAAGGGCCTCCTCGGTTTCAGGGTCCAACCTCAGCTCTGCCGTCCCACTAAAAACTCCCGAGAAAGAGCCGGGACGGGGCCGCTGCAGGCGTTGGTCCGGGAGCAAAATGTAGGTTCGACCCAGGTAAGAGATGGCCTCAGAGCGGAGCGACTGAGCGGAGCACGGGAAGGGAGCTTGAATCCTTTCTTCGGTCTGCTCCTTCAAAAGTCCAGGCCAAGGCGCCGGATAGGGGCAGCCGGGCATCATGCCGGCAGCGGGGTCAAGGCCTCAGGCACTTCGCCATGGGTGCTGCTTTGGAGGACCAAGCACTGTCACAGAAAGATGCAACTCAGTCCCGTGTATGCGCATGTGATCAAGATCCTTCCGCTTTGATCAGCGAGGCTTCCCATCCCAAGGCGTCGAAGGCTTGAGCTGAACCAGCCCATGGCTGAGCCGTTTACGCTGAGTGTCAGGGTTCCAGATGCCCATGGGAACCTGTCCCGATGCTTTGTATCGAAGCGTCATGCCGGTGCCCGAGAGTTTGGCATCATGGAGATTCTCAGCCAGGTCACGACATCTCTCAGATGTTCTCAACCCCCCCGATCCACCTGGTTCGGCGGATCAAAGAGCACACCGTTTGGAGCCATGGTATAGATCTTGCCTCGGCCGGATCACTCGGATGTTTGCATGGTGCAAGCTGGCGGGGCCAAAAGGCAACTAAGTGCAACCTCACCCTCGTTACACATCCTACTGATTCCCTGCAACCTTCAGCATCAATACCCAGCTTCCCACCTTTGTACTCGAAAGGCTTGGTCCCTTCGAAGGCCGGATCGAAGGCGCCGTGGCCTCCACGCTTAGCTGTGCCGGCGACGTCAAGCTACATACAAGCCGAACCCTGGTGACTGGGACCTATCGGGACCTGTCATGCGCACTGCGTCACTTTACCCATTCAACGCTTTTCTGTCGTGCCTTGCTGTCCACCCATGGCGCCGCCCATTGGGCCACCCATGGCTCCACCCATTGCTCCGCCATTGGCATTCGTGAAGCCCTTTCGCAGCCTCAAGGATACAGGAATCTGCTGCAGCAAGCGCTTTCCAAGGCTGGTCCCTCTCTGAGTTAGTCGCCCTTGGGAGAAGCTCTGTGCTTGGGCCTGCCACAGACGAAACGAACACCGAGCTGCGACTGTTGTGGCCGTGGCTGATTTGGCATGGCATCTCGGATCCTGCAATGCCTGTGCAAGCTCTGATGAGCCCCCTCAACTGGGAAGCTAAAAGTGCCTGCTGCTCGGCGTAGTAGTCGTCTTCCTCCTAACATGTGCTTTGAGATCTCGAAAACCAAACGGCCCAGGCCCAACCACTACAACATGCGCGGCGCAACAGGTGATGCCTGGTTCTGATACAGTGTGATCTGGTCTACATCGGTGCGGGCACGCGCACAAACGCACGCGAATGCACGCATGACCTTGTTAGTGCATGCGCGTGCAGATATGTGAGTAACGTGTTACAATAAATGCGTGTGATGGGGTATACGAACACGTGCAGATGTTTGTCATATGGCTTGACTTGGATCTGTCATCAAGCATTTACATGTGTTCATTCGCACAAAGACATACGCGAATGGCATATGGCATGTACACTACATCTGTCCATAGCTACGAGTATCTATCTATCTATACATACATATAAATACCATATAGCACATACATCGACAAAAGTCCATCCATCCATCCATCCATCCCTACATATGTACGCACGTGCGTACATCTGTAACATCGACACATTGCCGTTGGTAAGTGCACATATTCAGGCAGACAATATGTCTGCGAAGCTATCCATTATACGCGCATGGGTGCAGCTCTAACTACATGCATGCTCAAGGACTCAAGGGCAGCAGCGACACCAACAATCTGTCGATCACAGGCCTGCTCCCCCTGGATGCCTGGCAGCGGGGGCACCTTGGCGTGGCCACGAGCATAGTGCTAAGATTGCAAGGCATCAGGTATACGGTATAGTGTGTTGTATCAACCCACCAGCACTCCCAGCTGTTGTCTAAGTGCCCGCGCTCGGGAGGACAGCTTGAAGCCCGAGATCAGCTCCCGAAGCCAGCCCTGGTGCAAGCTGAGGCTTCAGCATTTCAACCACTCGGCCCCGAGCTGTTGATACAAATTTGTTGTCAGAGAATGCCGGCGCAGGGAAGAAGCGACACCCCTTGATGCCGGCACCGTCGGGGCCTCACCCGACTTGGACTTCTTCTCGAGGACATGGGCAAAGACCCGCTGACCTCAAGACTCAAGTCCTAAGAGTAAGAGTAGAACTCCGAATCAGCAGACTCCGAGTCCAGAGATGAGACTGCCACGCATCCAGGTCTCTGTCTTCAGAAGGTCCTGGCGAAAACCAGTCTGACAAGGCCCCACACCGTGCGAAGTCTTGGGGTCCTCTCCGGCCAGGTATCCCTCCGACACCAGGTACTCCTTGTTGCTGCGGTGCTCTTGCCACAAGGCTTTGGCCTGGACGGAACGATGAACTAAATCCTGGTAGTAATTGAGAAGATCTTGGGCTAGCAAGTCGCGAAGTGTCATACTTAGTCTGGACTTAGTCATACTAGTAACTAGTACTTGCGCAGTACCACCTGCGGCGGAGGCTTGCATTTAAGAACACTGCAGATTCTTGCAAAACTGCTTCCGCCTCCTTTCCTGATGCTGAGGTTTGCAAATGAACGGCCCCGAAGCTTTGTGCACATGCAAGTGCATGTATATGTGCGTCTCTTGATCCATGTGCCTCCATGACCGTGCGCTCTTCGAGCTCTTTGAGGGCCTCGACCTCCTCGCGGTGGGAGAGCCCGCGAGCAAGCTCTGTAAGTCTATGAGTGTCGACTTGCATCGGATTTCTGAACCGCCTGGACTATCAGCTCCTACATGCAGCCCTTCAAGATGTCCTTGCCGCTCAGGCCCATAGAACGTCCAGTTCCTGGCCGCCTCGAGACGTGATCATGCACCCTCAATCCAAGAACCAGCTCCCAGTCATACTGCCACTCCTACTCCTACTCCTTCTGCTGCTTCTCGTGCTACCACCACTTTGACGACGACTGCTACTACAGTTACTGCAGCTCTGGTGTTTCTGCTACTTCTAATGCCACGACTACATCTAAAGTCACAACGACGACTACCAAATGCTGCGACAACGTTTCTTCACCTCTCTGTACGGGACCTGATCCGGGCTATGCTTGAAGGGGCTACCATGATCGATAGGTCCTTAGGCCAGCACGCTCTTGCAGCAGCCCAGGCATCACACATGGCCCACAAGTCAATGTCCTGCCAGCTTGGGTGATACATTGCAGTGGTCCGCTCAGCAAAAGAGCAGGCTCGACTTTATTGTCATCCTGACCTGAGCCCCAAAGCCCACGGCCTGTCGGACTAGAAGCTAGAAAGGCCATTGGCAAAGAGAGGAGAGCAGGTCGGTCGTTCATGCGTCGCCGGCGCCGAAGCAGCTCGCCCCAGTCCTGGGTTTTCGCGCAGGCATCCACTTGCTCATGTTAACGCGCACAAGCATACTTGTACTTGCATGTCTGAAGCATTCGATGCTGCCTAAATCTGGACCGGTACCCTATGGGTTGTCCCAAGACATGTACGATTACCTGCATTGCGAGAATGCAAGTCGACCAGCAGCAGCTCTAACCGAAGATCAAGACTGTCTGAGAAGTCTTGATACAGCCGCGATGGGGAATGCATTCCAGACATTTGTGGCATATATCAATATCCCTTCCACCACCATGCCAGTGCCACAACAGAAGATCGTGCAAAGGGAGCACGGGCACGCTCTGCTCAGCTTCCAGCCGAGTCGTTGGCTAGGACCCATCCTTCTGGCTTGCCCGAGAGCTTCAGCCAGCCTCGGAAGCAAAAAGAGTCCCTTTGATCGGAGGAGCAAGAGATCCTCGGGGCCGAGCCGTCAAAGTTCTGAGTGTGCGCAAAGACATACTCTCCGCCTTGGCGATATTTCCCAACTTCAAAAGGCAGAGATGTCACGGAGTCCGAAAGTCCATGAGCCGACATACAAAGAAAAAATGTAATATAATATAATGCAAAATGATAAACATATATATATATATATATATACATATATATATATATATATATACATATTTATAGACAAGCCGCACTTGAGCGTTGCCACTGTCTTCGCCTTTCGGCTCGGCGTCTCCCTGGCGGCCGGAGGCGATGGAACTCTGCTCAAAGTCCGCGGACTCTCAAGGGCACCTTACGGGAACTCCGGTCTTGAAGACGACTTCGAGGCAAACCATGCCTCGGAGGCTCAGTTGCTACACCCGACTTTGGAGCGTTGTCCCGTTTCCCTGCTCCTCCACTCACCACCACCGCCACTGGTGAAAACGACAACGACGTCTGCTGCTGCTGCCGCCACCACCACTGCGACTGCGACTAGCACTCCCACTCCGCCTGCGTCTGCGCCTGCGACTGCTACTGCTGCTGCAAACTGCTACTGCTGCTGCCACTACTGCTGCTATTGTTGCTACCTCCTCCTCCTGCTACTACTACTACCACCACCACCACTAGCCACTACTGCTACTGTTACTGCTACTTCCACCACTGTGACCACTGCTACGCTACTGTTAATTAAAGAACTCGCGGAGAGAGGAACTGGAAGGTCTCGGCCCGTCTGGGATCCGAACCCTGCGGCTGGTAGACAGGGACTGCCAGCCTCGTTCGGCGAAGCTTGCTCACTCTTGCTGCATGGGGTCTTCGGAAGTTTGGCTTAGGCGCGGGTGGCTGAAGGGCTCTATTCATTGAAGGCTTCTTGTGCGAAGAGACAAGTGGCTCCAGCATGGGGTCGGTCTCGAGCGGTGCTGCCACCTGCGCGGACCATGTGTCTTGATGCCCCTGTGGCCAAAGCACCGTCCGAAAGACTACATGCTTCCACAAATACTGTACTGCAGACGGGCGAAGTCCGTCGCATGATCTCATCAGGGCTCACTTGCTAACTTGCTGGCGCCTCTCCAATGTCCTGCATGCAGACAGAAGTTGCAGCCGGCAAATCAAGCAACGAGGTGCCAGCTTTGAGAGCCTCCCCGGAACACAAAAAAACCTTCGCAGACACGCACACACGCAGAGATCATAGTAATGCTGTCCTGTACACCACGGAGGTGAGCTGCCTCAGCCGGCTGCAGCGAGTTGCTCACCGGCTTACACTCACGTAAACCAGACAGGACGGTAGCCTTGCGCTGGCATACCAGCCTAAGGCCTGTGCCAACCAGCCCGGCTCGTTCTCAAGCTTCAACCTACACACACCCCACACACACACACACATTCACACACACACACACAGATTCGCTGCTTTTGACCTTCACCGAATAAGCTTCTGAGGTTAGGGCCAGCCATTCATCGTCATTTCGGAGACGATGAACCTACTTCCTTTGGACCTCGCTCTGAGCGCGTGGAAAGCTCTCACTCGAGACCCCCTCGCTTGGCCCGGCACTTCTTGGTCTTCAGCTTGGCATCCATGTGTGGCTCTGCTTTGACCGTGCCTGTCTTCGCGATGACCTGGCTCGGCGGTTCGCGAATGCAAGTCTGAGAGAAGACGCGCCCGTTCTTCTTCCCGTTCCAGCAACAAAGCTATCATAGGTATGAGTTTAGTGCAGCTGCTTGCTGCTGCTGCTACCTGACGACGACCACAACCACAACTACCACCATCACCATCATCACCATCACCAACACCACCACTGCAACCACTGCCTGCCTGCTTACCTGTCTATCACTGGCTTCAGTTGCAATTGCCTCTGGCATTCTCACCAGTGCGGCAAGCTCGGTGACTGTTATGGCCAGTTTTGGCTAACATAAGCTCCAAACCCGACTCTGCAGCATTAGACGTACTTCCCAAAGAGGCCCAAACCAGTAAAATATCTGCAAAGCACGGCTCTGGTCAGAACTCTCGCCTCGTAGGTGCGGTTCTGGCTTTCCTCCTGGTGTTGGCCATTCTTGGCCTCCTGCCTGAACCGAGAGCAGCTCGGTGTGCATCGGGGAAATGACAACTTTCAGGGATTTGAGCGTCCCAATATGACTTGGTCGAAACATTACAACCTGCAAGGAATGATCAAGTAGAAGGCCTTTGTTGAGCTTCCGGATTGCCCCAAGCAAAGGCCTTCCGATTGAACCTCGGTGCACTGATGCTTCGGTCATGACAGGCCGCAACCCCAAATGGCCCATTGATGATTCTTTTGGCTCGTCTTCCGCTCTGCGGACTCGGGACGTGCCGTCTCGACAAGGTGACATCAGGCGGAGCAATCCTCCTGGCATCCTTTAGGGACAACCCCCAACGACATATGAGTCTTGAAAGGGCTTCAAGGATCCCAGGAGGAATCGTCTGGTGACATTGACAACGAGCCACTCATCGCGAGACTCGTGGCCTCCGACGTGGCTTTGAGAACCAAATCTCTGAAATATGAAGCTGCGCTAAGCATCATCAATGCTGCACAATCACTCGATTTAGCGTTGACGTAGCCGAGCCATAGCCGTGGCCGCAGCTGTAGTCGTAGCAGTAGTACTAGTAGTAGTAGTAGTAGTAGTAGTAGTAGTAGTAGTAGTAGTAGTAGTAGTAGTAGTAGTAGTAGTAGTAGTAGTAGTAGTAGTACTGCTACTACTACTACTACTACTACTGCTACTACTACTACTGCTGCTGCTACCACGACGACGACTACTACTACTACTACTACTACTACTACTAGAACTAGTAATACTAGCTAGTAATAGTACTTACTTGTACAAGTACTGGTACTGGTACTAGAAACAAGTTGTTGCTGTTGTTGGCGTAGGGGTAGCTGTAGGGGCAGGAGGAGGAGTACTAGGAGTAGAAGGATACCTATCCTACTGCTGCCACTGCTGCTGCTTAACCGCTCAACAGCAATTGATAGCTAAATCATCAAGGCAACGAGTTCTGAGAGCTCTAGGACATCGTCGGAGCTATGATCGGTATTTCTCGCACCTTACCTGTACAGATTTCCTCAGAGCTGGATGCGTTTGAGTATGATATAGATGTACCCAAGCTACACCGGCTTCTACCACCAGGACTATGTGGGAAAGTTCCAGCTCAAAACGCATCTGCCTATTGAATGACCGACTGATTGCTGCCAGGGCATCAACCGAGATGAACATGCCCCAGACAGCGGAAAATCCTCTCGTACTACTCAAGCCTTCGGCCAGAAGTTCTCACGTGAAGGAAGTCGCGATGCCTTGCAAACAGAAATCACAGACAGTTCGCTGCGTTCTGTGCCACGTATTGATGGTGAATGCACCCTGACACGGCATATGTCAGAACCCAGCACAGCGAGGAGACATCCGCAAACTCAGCGACTGACGTTGTCGTCCTGAGGGTGGCACAGTCAGTAGCTCTCAGCTCTTATGGCCCAATCGAGGCGGGCATTTAGACATCGCCACCCTCCTGGTAGTTCAGGTTGCCCATGGAGCTCCAGGCTTGTGACACGACCAGGCGCTTTTGCTTTCCGTCTTTGCTTTCCTTGGGCAGTCTTTGGGGGGAGCCGAGACCGTAGCTCGAGTCAGAGCTTTTGGCCCCGCGGCCGCAAAGCCCAGAACTTGCGTGCAATCCTAGGTCCAAGGCTTTCCCTCCCCGATGCTTGCTGAGAGGCAGTGCGCCCGCCACGATGCATAGTTCCTTAGCTTCGCAGGGGTTATGTTTCAGAAGATTGGGACGAGTCTCGGAGATGAGCCTGCGCCAATGATGCCGCATTGAAGCCTTCATTGGCAGCTTCTGTCTCACCGAATTGCGCCCAAGCGACGCATCACGTCGCAAAGTTGCCGCATCTGCTCTGCAGATGTAAGCCTCGGTACTCGGTAGGTGATTGCAGTGACAGGCAGAAACCAGTGTAATGGTCACTGTGTATCACTGTGTAGTGATTCTTCCACGTGAAGCCAAAGAGGTGAACCCAAGGCCCCTCAATCCATCAAAACCAGATGAAAAGGAAGGAAGCCCACAACATGGAGCCTCGAGAAGCCTAACCCTAACCCCTCCCCTAGAGACCCTAAAATCATTTCCATGGGAGATCTTCACGAAGCGGCTCGCGCACCCGCCGCCCTCGCCGCATCGACTCGGCCTTTCCAAGGCCATGAAACTAATGTGGGAGTCTTACGTCCGGGGGCTTTTAAAAGGGGTTTGTAAAAGGGTCTACAAGGCCAGGGGAGGCTTAGCCTTCAAATTGAACTGCAAAGGGCTGCAGGATTTAAAGCTCGAAGGGTGGACAGATTTACACTTCTAGGAGAGTTTAGGATTCGGCACGGACTTTTCGGCATAATTATATGGGATTTCTTTCGGCCGACTCTCGCTGCGCATCTTCGCCGACCCCGCAAAAAAGCTGCCAAAACAATCAGAACAGGATTTTGCCGTGGGGTACGGGTACAATGTTTCTAGACTGAAACAACGGACTCTTACTCCGTAAGTTGGGAACCTTGTTCACGCTTCATTAGAAGAGGGTACTGATCGGAAATCAACAGGCGAGCGAGAAATCGGCTAAAATCACCGTCTTGCGATCTCCAGTGCGATTCTTAAGGCTTTCATGGGAGCTTGCAGCCAGCCTGGCGTTCCAGCGCAGTGGCTTCAGCCGCCTTGCGCGAATGGGGCGGAACATGGTGGGGAAGCACCAATGCATTCTGCACCTCCCAAAGAAAGACGGACCTTCGCAGTCCGCGCACGGACGGTTGCGCCGTGGTGCCTTGGCCATCGCTCTCTCTGCTGCAAAAGCCGATGCAGCGGCATGCTTAACAGCGGACACCGGATTGGACCCGCTGGAAAATTGCGGCGCCCATTCCCGAAGCTTGAACCCCGAAACACTCCAGGTGAAGGCAAGGAGCACTCGAAGGTCGTAGAGCCGAGAATCTTTCAGTGGCGCCTGGTGCCATGAGATCGTGACCCAAAACTGAGGCTTTGTACCCGTCTTGGTTTTTCCAGCTTCCCTGATCTTCCCGGTTGGTTGGTTCGCACCATCATCAAGGCCCCAGTAACAGTGGGAAAACAAAGCGGAGGAGGAGGAGAAGGGGGGGAGGAGGGGCAGCTGCAGCAGTGGTGTCTGAGTCGCCGTCGCAAAAGGAAGTAGCAGGAGGATTGGTGCCGCCAGGATTGCATTCCTACAGATTGCAGTACACAGTATAGCAGAAAGAGCAAAGATATGACATCGTCAGATTCAGCAAGGCAATGGGCAAAGATGCCCGAAACAGGAAACACTGAACCACCATGCAAAAACAGGCCCATAGAAGGACACCGATTCCCTACAACATAGCCTTGTCATCACCACAACAACGTGTATGCTTGGGTGAGCACGTGTGAGGTGATGCAACCACAGATCGGCAGAGTGCTTCTCGTTGGTTGAAATATCTTGCTAGCGGAGAGATGCAGGAGAGGACATCGTTCCTTCACAGCCTCACGGAGGCAACCGTGGCCAAATCACTGCACGGCGAAGGACATGCAGCCGTGTTTCTTTAGTGGCATAGACAACATCTGCATCTGCTTGCTGCATACGCGAAGGAGCTCAATCATGTGGACAATTGGTTGGCAGCTGTAGTAGATCCGCACTCAGGCAAATGTCATCATGAGTCACGTCATACCAGTGCGCGCAAGAAGGTTTTGGGGACATCGATCTTGCCAACCATGCACCTAAGCACCTCTGGATTGGTTCTGCCCCGCCCGCCCCTTGGCGACATGCCTTCAGGGTGAAACACACACGACACATCAGACCAGCGGTCATGATGCCTCAAACATCCGCATGAAGTCTGTCGTCGGAATGTTTTGCCGCCTGAGCTCGTACCTGGCCGCCAGAATGGAGAGAGAGCGAGGGCTCAAGAGGCACAAGTCTCTTCCTTCAGCAACGGGGGGTCTGTACTGAAGCTAGAGGAGTCATGCGCGAAAACAACCGAAAGTCATTGCTGCTCACGGAGAAGTTCATCGCTCGGAGACGCCGTTGTCTCCGAGACGGGTGAAGCAGTCATAAGAATCGAGGATTGAAAAAGATGGCAACTAGTCGACAACTGGAACAGTCCCAACACGCAGCTCCCGGGGGCAGCTTGTGAAATCCGGATCTTTTCCTCAAGACCTCTAGGCAAACAGCTGGAACTTTCTACCTCTCCCCTTCCCTTTTCGGAAGCTGCGCACCTGGCGTCCGCCGAGGTCCGAAAAGGATAAGACTCGCCTTGGCCCAGGGGTTTAGGGTTTAACCGCTGTTGTAGGAGGTTTCTAGAAGGGTTACCAAAAGGTTTTGGGGTTTTAGGGTTCAGGGCTCAGGGTTAACATAACGGCTGTGGAGTTCCCCACTTTGTCTTGGATGCAACGTCGGACATCCGGGTCTGATGTTGGAGTTTGGGCCACATCGAAAAGCCTTGGGCCAAGTGTCGGTACTCTTCTTTCATGAAGTGCCGCGTCGAAGGCCGGGCTGCGAAGAGACCGGCGAGCTGCGAGGCCTTCCATGTTGCCAGAGCGCCCGGCAGTGCTGCGACACGCCCACACTTTCACTCAATAATGGCTCCAGAAGCCGCCGTCGTAAAACCTTCAATGCTTCAGGTACCACGAAGCCGGCAAACAACATATCACGATAAACATGGGCAAACGAACGGTACCTGTACGAGTCGAAGTGTGCCACGAAATCCTAATATTTTGCTGCTACCGGCCTCCGGGCTCGACGCAGGACGAGCCACTGACCACCAGCCTGTTGTAACGACGGGCATTTACAGGGCTGGTTCAGGGTGATGCAGGAGATGTTGCTTGTGGATTTAGGATGAGAGTGTCCAGGAGTCGAAGCTGAACGCCATGGTTTCAAGGTCTGGCTTTGCCACAGGATCCTCCAGCAGGTTGCCGTTACATTCCGGGAGCGCTTCATGCTTAACCATGCAATGCCCCCATGCTGCTTCACGCCCTGACGCCGAATTAGCTTGACCTGCTATTCGAGTCTCCGCGGTTACTAGGCTTGATTGCAGAACTCCAAACTTCACAGTTCCGCTTTGGACCTCCGTCGTCCATGCTGCAAACGGCAAAGGCACAGCGCGTGCCCGGAGGAGACGCGGGGCTTCCAAAGCAATCGGAATGCTCTATCTCAACTGCTTTATGAGGCGGCTGCTCATGTTCTTGTTCCGCAGCTAACACAATCTAGCTTGCAATACAGGCAGACATATAATTAAGGCTGGTCTATGCTATGATGTCGATGCTTGCGTGTTTCATGCTAAGTGATTGCCGTCTTGGGCAGTGTCAGTTTCTCTTGAACCCGGGCAATTCACGGACAGTGTTCTGAGCTTCGCAAATCCTTGTGAACTCAAATCGTGCGATGCAGAATGCCAATAAAACCACAACGCTTGTCAATCTCTCGTCCCCTGTATCTGTATAAGTAAGCGTGAACGTATACATTACATACATATACATATACGTTATACATATGTATACATATATACATATACATATGTATACATTGTTGCATGTATTGACGAGATATTTAGATACATACATAACTAAATGTACAGATTCATGCATGTGTATATATACACATATATATGCATATATGATGCAGGGCTGCCACACCCCCCTCCCCCCCACCCCATGGTATCCTCCCCCCTTCTCCCCCGCCTTCCCTGTGGTGTGGGGCCTGTGGTGGTACTCTTTTTGCCGCGACGTTCTTATGTGTTACTCCTTGTCTTCCCTCTTGCTGTGGCACCGGTGATACTGCTCATGATGTTGTGCTGCTCTAGACCGGGACATGAGTCAACAATCAGACCATGCTCAACATCATCCTTGTCGTCGTCATCTTCATCATTAACACCTTCAAAAGAATATCTGCCACCATCACCATCGCCATACAACCCTCATAATTCAGCATTGCACTTCATGTCACATGCTGGAAACTACTGCGCCGATTGCCGCTTTCCGCACACGGCAGGGCATAGTGCGACACTCCCGATCCACGCACAAGGTCAAGGGGCAGGCAAGGTGCGGGCCGGGGCGGGCAGGGCGGGGTGGGCGTGCATATATGATCCCGGTTCGGCCCCCCAATGGTTCCTCCCCATTCCCCCCCTGTGGTGTGGTGTGGTGTGGTGGTGGGTTGCTTCCCCCTCCCTGTGGTGTGGTGTAGCGTGGGCGGGGGTGGGTCTGGTTGGGGTGGTTCCCCCCTTCCCCCCTGTGGAATGGTGTGCCCCTGCGTTTTTAGGTTTGTAGGTTTGCTTTGGGTGTTTGGTATACTCATCCCTATGATGATAATAATAATGATGATGGGGACGATGATCACCATCATCATTAACTAACTCAAGCATCTTAATGTTTGATTGGTTTGTCGTCGGGTGTCTTCTGCCCACGTGCCTGGTACTGATTATCGGTTTGTTGATCGTAGGGCCACTATCTTCGTGGCAGTTGTCGCTTTGGGGGCAATTGCCAAAAGGTTGCAATCGGCCAACTGTCAAAGGGATCGGGCCTGTCAGGGAACGCACTCCTCGTGACGGTTGGCGGCTTTGGCGGCCTCACACGGATCCGGTGCAAAAAGTGTGCGCAGTCCCACAGATTCGGCTTGGGGAGTGGGTGTGGGGGGGGGTGGGGGGGGATACCATGCGGGGTCGGCGAACCGAGAACCGGGATAATATATGCTGTCGGGTTTCGGGCGGCCCCCCCCCCCCCCCAACCCCCTGCCGCCCTCCCTGCCCGCCCCGCCGCCCCCCGGCCCGCACCTTGCCTGCCCCTTGACCTTGTGCGCGGATCGGGAGTGTCGCACTATGCCCTGCCGTGTGCGGAAAGCGGCATCTGACGTGAATTGCAAATTATGAGGGTTGTATTGCGATGGTGATGGTGGCAGATCTTCTTTTGAAGGTATCAATGATGAACATGACGACGACAAGGATGATGTTGAGCATGGTATGATCGTCGACTCATGTCCCGGTCTAGAGCAGCACAACATCATGAGCAGTATCACCGGTGCCACAACAAGAGGGAAGACAAGGAGTAACACATAAGAACGTCGTGGCAAAAAGAGTACCACCACAGGCCCCACACCACAGGGGGGGCGGGGGGGAAGGGGGGAGGATACCATGGGGTGGGGGGGGGGAGGGGGGGTGTGGCAGCCCTGCATCATATATATTGTATTGTATATATGTACCTATTTATTATATATGTTTGCTTCTGTGTAAATATAAACGGCATGTTTATCATGTGAAGGTATGTTTGTTTGCATATATATATATATGTATGCTAGCCCCCCCCAAGACCAACCCTGAATTCCCTAAATTCCCTAATTCCCTACCCATTGGATTTAGGGAATTCCCTATTTCCCTACATTCCCTAAATTCCCTAATTCCCTACCCCATGTGTTGGATTTAGGGAATTCCCTATTTCCCTAAGTTCCCTAAATTCCCTAAGTCTGACCCCCATGGATAAGATTCAATGGTTTCCGTTCATGGGTAGGGAATTTAGAGAATTTAAGGAGTTTAAGGAATTCCCTAAATCCAACACATGGGGTAAGGACTTAGGGAATTTAGGGAATTAGGGAATTCCCTAAGGCTTAGGTTTAGGGAATTTAGGGAATTCCCTAAAGTCCAACAGATGGGGTAGGGAATTAGGGAATTTAGGGAATTAGGGAATTCCCTATAAGGGTTAGGTTTAGGGAATTTAGAGAATTTAGGGAATTAGGGAATTCCCTAAGTCCAACAGATGGGGTAGGGAATTAGGGAATTTAGGGAATTAGGGAATTTAGGGAATTCAGGGAATTTAGGGAAATTAGGGAATTTAGGGAATTCCCTAAATCTAACACATGGTCCTGGCTGGGAGTCAGGAAAGTTAGGGAATGCGCTAAAACCAACACGTGGGGCTGGAAATTAGGGTATGTAAAGACTTTATGGATTTAGGGAGTCTGCAGGAACTCACGCATTCTGTAAATTCGAGGCATGGAAGCAGTGATTAGAGAATTTAGGGAACTCGACCTCGCGACGTCGCCGGTTGACGGGTCTGTGCAACTGATACTTGTAGTAGTATTGATATTATTTTGAAAACTTTGAAAACTATAATACTCGTACGAGCACTAATACTTATAGTAATACTACTGGTGAAACTGATAGTAATGCTAGTATGATTATTGATGTTCCCAAGAATACTAGAAATCATGTACATTGTAAGAATAGTCTTGATGCGAATACTACTATACATACTATAGCTAGTATTATCGCTAGTATGAATATTGGCTACGCATATTCGTGAAATTACTCATTTTCGGAGTACTCATAGTCATGCTAATATTAGCATTAAGGCTAGTGCGAACGTGCATAATAAAATGCTCATACATGAATGTTAGCACTCGTATTTATATCAGCATTGGTATGTTTTTCAGTAGTACTAGTAACTCATACGAAGAGTAACCTCAAGTTTCATATTCCGACGAATACCAACGCATGTTTTGTTCATACTAATTTTAATTCTACTACTAGTATTTACTCCTAGTATTGAAAAAACTGTACCCAAACCAATTTTAGAGTTGATGTGAACACGAACTTTAATGTTCTTGCCACTACTGATATGCATAGTAATATTAATTAGCATTAATGTATATGAAAACTAATGTTCTTACGAATACCAATAATCATGTTCCCCTTTTATATTCATATAAGAATCGTCATGCCTAGATAAGTGCTAGTACTCATGCTAATACGAGTATTAATACTAATACAAGCATAGGTATGAATATTCCTACGGGTATTTATGCTCATGTTCTTAACAAAATTATTCTCATTACGAATACCGACATTAATTGTCTCTTTAGAACAATATTGATATTAATATGAACACTAATACTTCGGCTAGTACGAACATGCATAATACTAGTAAATTATTTGTGCTCATACAAATATATAAAGATTATTACATACTCATGTTAAGATCAATACCAATATGAATTTACAAACATCATACTAATGTCAATATCGCTTTTGTAATGTATACTAAAGAATACATCAGAATAAGGCACAAGAAAATTCATGCATCAGATTGTGAAAAATTCAATGTTTTCATTTACCAATATGTATGGTTGTTATAGTATTATACTAATATACCAATAAATTAATATACTAATATACTGAGAAACTGATATACCAATAGACCATGTTACTAATATACCAATATACGAGTATACTGAAAACTGTTCTTGTTAATATACATGTTTTGTTTATATACCAATATACTGAATAGACACATATGAATACTGATACACATAATGTACTAAGACTAAGTTTGTAAGGCCCAGCCCACGTCTAATATCAATACGAATACTAACACGAGCACTAACACTAACACTGCTATAGACATATATTAAATTAAAACTGGAGCACTAAACTCATATTAATATTAAGACTAACACTGACGTTGACACTGACACCAGCATCAGAACAAACAGGAACACTAATCAAACGAACAGTAATATTGGACAGATACCAGCAGCATTGTTAGAACTTCTAAAACTAGTAATGACGCAAAACTAATACTAATGCTAACGCTAGCAAAAATATTAAGGTTACTACTCACAATAATTAAGGTTAAAACTTAGAGCAAAATTGAGTCAAGACCAATGTTAACACTGTTTTTTAAGACTGAAACTAAGAATAAGACTTTGACAAGATGACGATAATTAATAAAGGATGAGGCACACAAACTGGACTCTGTCCTTTACCACTCCGACAAGGCGCGCCGAGAGTGTAAATGGTGTCCATAAAACTGAACCCTGTTTTTTACCAGTCTGTCAAGAGGCGTCGAGAGTGCAAACTTTGTACGGGAACACAAACAACATCGGTATTTCCAGTGGTTTCGGCTCTGATCCATGACGCTGTGAAGACAGTAATGAGCAGGACAATGGTCGAGGTTGGTCCTGGGGGGGGGGTACCATATATATATATATATATATATATATGCACATACATACATATTACACACATACACACATACACACACACATATATATATATGTAAATGTAATACACATGTACCCGGACGTATTGGCAGCCTTC